CTTGGCCCTGTTTGCTGGCTGATGTGGGTGAAACACAGATGCCCTATCTTGGCAACTTGCATGCTAGCTTCCTCTACCCATCCCACTCCCGTCACTTTGCAATACTCTATTTTTAGAGGTGCTGCAAGGATTGAGGTGCGGGGGAACAGGGAGAAACAGTCTTCTCTGATCTATGTCTCCTGTCATTTGGCGCTTGCTCCTTATCCTTGCACCCATTTGTTATGGGCCTCGCAACCCTGTGGCCTCCTTCCAAAAGCAGGCAGAAAAGGCTCACTCAGGAGCACTCTGCACCTGCCCATTCCCTTGGGGGCTGGGGCAGACCTGTGCACATTTATGTGTCTCCCATCCCAAGCTAGAAGGGTGAGACTTGACATTTCTGACACTACTAATGGAAAAGGAAGAGGGAGGGGAAAAAACTTTTCCAGCCATTTTTGCATCCCAAAGCAGCAGAAAAAGAGCTCAAGTCCTAGTGCTTTTTCCCTTCCCATCATGTCAGATCTCTGCCTCATTCTTTCCAATCTGTCAACTGGGCATACTACTTCTTTATCTTATATACAGACTTCGGGGGGTAGTAGCAAAGTTATTATAAACTCCCACTAGAGTGCGACTCCAGACTCATACTGGGTCACCTGGTATGTGCCAGTGACCTACATCACCTACCCCGATCTCTGCGTGCTGATGATGGCTACAGAAAGTGATGTCCCTTAACCATACCAGTCCAAAGGAATGATTGGGTTGGACCCTTGGTCCCCATGTGGGCTGTGAGGATTGATTCGCTAGTGCTTTGAAAGCACTTTGGGCCTCTTGTGTTGGAGAAACTTGTAAAGAGCAAAAGGAGCATTACCTGCAGGGGCTGTAAAATGCTCTCAAATGGCAGCCACTGTGTTATTTGTAATGGTAAGTGCACTGAGGACCTATAGTGCATTTTATACCCCAGATTTTAAAGGGCTGCATGCAGGATTCCTGGGAGATGCGCACACACAGCCAAACCCAAAACATGTGTGTGTGGTATCTGCATTCCCAGAGTGCCAATCGGTGTTCGGGAGTGTCTATATGCCCTATCACTGGGCACCCAGGGTTGACCAGGACAGCATACCATCATTGCGAGTGCCCATGTGACTTGTGAATGTGTGGCTGGTAAAATCATTCTGGATGCTGTTGAAGCACTGGACAGACCCCAGGCAAAGCTGACTCCTGCTGGCAGGCCCCAATGCCAAGCCCCAGTAACAGGGGAGGAACAACCATGCAAGCTGTCTCACACCTGCTGTGGCCAGAGCCATCTGGTGATGCCTGAGAGTGGCTGGGGCCAGCCGCAGGGAGGACAGCTTGGTGCCTCGGACAGGCGGTACCCCTGCCAGGCAGCCTCTACTGGGGGGCCCCTGCCCTGTTCTGGCTGTGGGAAAAGGCAATCCCACTAACTGAGAGATGGATCCTCCTTCCTGCCCAGCTGGGCCCATGGCCACACGGCAGGGGCACCGCAGCCTCTTTGCAGCCAGATGTGAAATAAGCCCACACACAAGAAAAATCCTGAAGCCCTTGGCTACTTGGACTTCAAGGCCCCTGGGAGCTGTGCCTGGACGAGGGGGTCAGCCCTCTCACTGCACCCCTAGGGATAGAGCCCCTCTGCAACTACCCTGGGGGCTGCCCCAGCCTGGGGATGCTGGGGGTCTGGCTGCTCCTCTCCCCATGCCAGGTTGCATGGGACACACCTGTTGCTCACATTTCTCCCATCTCCAGCGCTCCTTTAGTGACGTGTGCTCCTTCTCTCGGCCCCAGAAGCCATGCAGCCCTGCTTCCCAGCTCGGCGGCTCCAGCCCATTATATAAATAATAGATCTCCCCGTCAGTCTTATTTTGCTGTCATGATTAAAGAACGCTCGCGCTGCTGCGTCCCCTCCTGCTCTCCAGCACACGCCCGGCTCAGCTCTCCCAAGGATCTGCCGAGCCTTCTCATTTGCTCGAAATCCAGGCATCTCTCGCTCTGCTCCCAGAGCGTGCGGAGGAGAATTTAAATGGGGGTGGAAGGGGGGGAGGGGGTTAAAGCATGTCTCTCTCAAAAGCAGGGCTGTCATAGCAGGGACAGGCACTCCTGTGTGAGTCACATCTAAATGCCGAGCAGAATTGGAGCTGCTGGGAAGCGAGACCCGAGCACCTGTCGGATTCCGGAGTCCATCGCATGGAAGTGCCGGTTGCTGCAGGGGGGCAGTGGGCAGACACCGTGCCAATCTGCTTACTTTGGTTGTATCGTCCAGCTGTCCAAGGGACCGGCCCCACCTCCTACTGGACCCTGCTCTGACCCGGCAATGACACTGCAGCTGTTTCTCTGGTAACGCGCTGTGATGTCACAGACACAGGGGAGTGACCTCAGGACCTGCCCCAGTGGAAAGAAACCCTCCTTGGAGTTTTCAGTAAACCCTGTTTGCTGGGTAGCAGAGCACCAAAACCTCCTGCACCGCGGTGGGAGGAAATCCACCTTCCTGGTCACTGGATGTGTGTCTGCATTGGTGTGTCTTGGGTCAAGGCAAAACCATTGTTTCCTTTGTGCCCTGGACGGCAACAGAGAGACTGTTGGGGGCTCATTGAATATTACACGCCAAGGTAAAAGGCAAGCTGGTTCTACAGGTCAGGAGGAGCAGGGCTCATTACAGAAACTTAATGGCATCAGCAAACAATGCAACTATGCTGCTCTATTCTAGCGCTCAAACAGCTGGATCTCCAAGCTCCTCAAAAATGTGAATGAACCAACTGTCCCAGTGCCCCTTGAGATGTGCCTTCACAGTGACCCCCATTTTACAGGTGGGAAAACTGAGGCATGGCATAAGCAAGAAAGCAAACCTTTCAAACATGGGTGCCTAATATTTAGCAGCTAAACCTGAATTTAGGTGTCCCAACAAGGACCTGCCTGTCATAAATGTGATGCCCTGATCGCACCCACTGATGGCAGTACAGGCTGTGGAAGCTCAGCCTCCCTGAAATCAGGGCCTTTTTATTTAGTTGCTTATGTGAGAACTGAGGTACCCTGCTTCCGGAGGCCCAAGCCTGCACATATGGGCTTGAGTAACTTGCCTGCCAGTGGGGCAGAGGAAGAGCCCAGCTGCTCCAGCTGCCAGGTCTGGGCCTGCCCTCTGTGACCGTCCTTCCATCCCACTGAACAGACATGACAGCAAACAGGCACAAATAAAACTGACTTTCCCACAAGCATGGGTGGTGGATCCAGACAATCCTTGTTCTCCACTATCTATTCACTACAGCTGGTGAAACATTCCCAGTGTGTACAGCACCTAGCACAATGCCTGACTGGAGCCAGAGACAATATCCTTATTCTAGCACCAAGGCAGAATAGAGCCTGTGTCCTCAGTGGAGTTGAATCTTGACTCTGGTTGCAACCCAGAGACTCTGGATCCACTTCGCAGTTGGATGGGCCACCCCAGGTCCCCATTCTCCCCTATTTTTTGTGAGCGTCAGGAATAGCTTTGGAAATGCACCAGGCCAAACCATGCATCCAGCTCCAGACAAGGCTGCAGCCTCTCTCTGCATCTCCCTGCTCTTCCCACTGCCCTGTTCTCATTGCGTATAGATCCCTTTGGGGCTGGAGGGGTGTGTGGGAGGAAGGCTGGTAGCCTGGGATCACACTGCCTCGATTCAGTAAGCAGCCAAGATGTCCAACATCTCCCCCCCTACACACACTACCCAGGACAAGAAGAGAATCCTTTTTAATTTTTTTAATTTTGTGGGGGGAGCACAAGAGCCTGAAATATTTTGGAGGGATGCACCTGTAATTCCCCACTCCTGGCCTGGTAGCTCTGTCCCTTTATCATTGTGTCTCTGTGCAGAGGAGCAGAAACAAGAAACTATTAAAAAAAAAGGCGTGTAGAAAGGCGCTGTAGAAAAGCAGAGCAAATTAAGCAGAGCTCTGATCTGCTTGGGTTTGTGCTTGCCAAAAATGCACCATGCATCTTAATTCGCTCTGCTGTTCAGCTCGCACACACTGCTCTCCTGATGCCATTTCGACTCTCCCCCCTCAGCCTTTTCAACACTTCAGTCTTCCTCTTTCAGGTTTTTTCTTTCTTTCTTTTTTGCATGTCTGAGTGCAGAATCGGCTGCGGCTCGGAGACAGCCCCTGCCTCAGGGATCCCAAGCGATCCAGTGGATCCCCCTTTCCCTGCCCCCCCAGCCTCTCTCTCCGGATCGTGCGTGTCCATTCTCTAGACAGTGCTTCCTGGGTGCTTTCCAATCTTCCCCCCCTTGTTATCTCAGCAAGGATCTTTGAACATAGGTATATAGCTCAGAATTGCCAGCCACGTTGGCGTCATGCCCATCTCTCTCGGTTTATCTCCCCCTCTGTGTCTGTCCGCCTTTCAGATTTAGGTGGAGGGGGTGGGAATCAATTAAAAAAAAAATTAAAAAAAAACTTTTCCTGCCTCCTCTCATCCCTGCTTTGATCACAGGCTCCTTTCCAAAGGGGAGGGGGGCGGGAATCCTTTTTATTGCAGAGAGGGAAGCACGCAGAGCCGGGATCTCTTTGCAGGCAGTGCAATCTCTCTCTCTCTCTTTTTTTTTTTTCCTGCATGCATCTCCTGCTGCAGCAAAGCCGGGCAGGCTTGGGGGAGGGGTTGGGAAAGGCTGCCCCCCCTCTCCTCTCCCTTGCTCCTCTTCTCGCTCCGTGTGTTTTTTTTGCAGGTGTGTCAATTTGAATTCTGCCCAGTAGGTGGGACTTGGTGACTTTAGCACCATTTTTTTTTTTTGTGAGCTGCCTCCCCATCTTCTGTTGCAATCCTCAGAAGTGGCTCGGAGCGCCTGGATCAACAAGGCAGCCCGTGCAGGCGGGCGCGATGCCTTGCAGCCCGCTGCTGTAGGGGGAATTACCGCCGCTCCTGCCAGCTGCCGGCATGAATTCATCTGCCGGGGGATTGCGCCTCTGATCGCTCCACTTTGACTTCATTTTCTTGCCTCCCTCTGTCTTTGTTTCCTTCCCCCCCCTTCTCCCCCACCCCCCATCCCTCCCTTTCCTCCTCCTCTTTTTTGTCCCCCCTTTTTTATTTAAAAAAAAAAAAAACCCACAAAAACAAACCAGGGATCGGAGATGGATGTCTCTCTCTGCCCGACCAAGTGCAGCTTCTGGAGGGTCTTTTTGCTCTGGAGCGTTTGGGGAGACTATGTGCTGTCGGTGCTGGCTTGCCCTGCCAATTGCCTTTGCAGCAAGACAGACATCCATTGCAAGAAGCCGGATGACGGGAACCTCTTCCCCCTCTTGGAAGGGCAGGATTCAGGCACCAGCAATGGCAACGCGAGCATCAACATCACGGACATCTCCAGGAACATCACTGCCATGTAAGTCGGCCGCCCCCCGCCTCCCCTCTCCCAGCCCCGGGCGCTGGGAGCTGTGCGCGGATGCCTGGGTTCAGGTGCCCTCGGCATCGCTGGGGGTGCTGGCAGCGCTCCCTCCCGATCAGCCCTTGCTACGCCTGGTTTTTTGTGCAGAGGACGCCGATCTCGTCCCCCCCCAGCCCTCCCCCAGCAGCAACAGTTTGGCTCACGCTTAAGTGGAATAAAGTAAAATGAGATTTAATTTCTGAGCAGGGGAGGGCAGCAGGCTAGGATGCTATGGAGCTGCCTCTTGGTTTAACTCTTTGCGTGAGCAGGAGACACACACGCAGACACACACACAGAGCCACACATACACAGCAACACACAGCAGGCGAGGATGCTATGGAGCTGCCTCTTGGTTTAACTCTTTGCGTGAGCAGAAGGAGACACACACAGCCACACATACACAGCAACACACACAGCAGGCGAGGATGCTATGGAGCTGCCTCTTGGTTTAACTCTTTGCGTGAGCAGGAGACACATGCAGACACACACAGAGCCACACATACACAGCAACACACGCAGCAGGCGAGGATGCTATGGAGCTGCCTCTTGGTTTAACTCTTTGCTTAAGCAGGACACGCACACTCATAGACAGACACACAGCAAGTGTAAGCTGCAAGCTCTTTTGAAGACTTCTGGATCTGATAAGCGTGTCATTTTGACCCCCCCCCCCCCCCAAAAAAAAAAAAAAAAAAATCCCTCTCTGTCCTGGCTGAGTGTATCTGCAGCTTTTCCTTTTCCAAGACGGGGGTCTCTTGTCTTGGCTGAGCATATCCACAGCTTCTTCTTTTCCAAGAGGTGGTGGTAAGGGTTTGGGTGGGGGTGGAATTAAGGCACTGGGAGATGCCCCTTATTTAACCTGCCTTGTTGCAATTTTGCAACTCACTCTGGTGCTGAGCTGGGCTGGGCTGGGTGCCTTTAGATCCCAGGCCGAAGCAGGTCAGAGGGAGATATTTTTAGTGGAGCCGTTTGCCTTCGTGGGCAAGCCTGTTTATCTGGAAAATCAGCTGGAAGTTGCATTCTCCTTGTTTGGGGAAGCAGTTAGCAAAGCCCAGGCAGCTTCCATCAGCGGAGAGTGGAGCAGGGAACACATTTGCTTTTCCCCAGCCCATCTCACTGCTGTGTGTGGGTGTGTGTGTGTGTGTGTGTGTGTGTGTGTGTGTGTGTGTGTGTGTACACCTCTCTCAGCATTTGCAGGCTCTGCTCTTTATTTTCCAGTACATTTTGGGTGAGGTGAATTCCCAGCCATGTCATTACTGTAACACTAATTGAAATGTGAGCATTTAGGGAAATGCAGCCCCAGGAGTAAGTTGCCTGTGGGAGCTCCGCAGAAAAGAGGTGGGATTCTTTATTCCAGCAGTTAAAGCCAGCAAGGGTTGACATGAGCAATGGAGGGCTCCTTATTTATTTTACACCTCGATTGTAAAACAGCCTGTGCAGAGGGTGCTCCTTTGATGCTTCTTTTCCTGAGGCTGTGCTATTTGGTCACTGTGCAATTGCAGCACAGCTATGGAATAATTGCAATACCCTCCGTACGCGCTTTGCTAGTCACCTTTGCTGGATAAAGATGCCTGGTTGAACACAGATGCACCCCCCGCCCCTTCTTGCTGTTAACAGGTTTAGTGTAATGAATGCCCAAGCAGATTCTGGTAGGTTCAGTCCCAGCAAGCAAAGCCGCCCCATCCCTGTGCCTGCTGGCTTGCGTTCCCAGCAAATACACTCTCCCAGGAATCAGGGAGAGTAAAGATGGAGCGAATGTCATCCTTGCGTCCATATGCCCTGTGTTGGCCCTGTGTCCCCTGCGCCAGAGGATTTTGGTGGATGCCAGAGAGATCGGGAGGATGCTGGGGAAGTCTGAGAAACTCCTGTTTATTCCTGGGCTTGTTTGTTGTGTTTCTGTTTTAACCCTTTGTTAAACTGAACAGCATCTGGGCAGCTGCGAGGCGGAGAGAAGGAGTAATCTGGCGACCTGGCTGTAGCTGGGAGGCAGCCTGTGTGTGCCTGTTACTTGGTGGGGTGATGTAGTCACACGTATCATCTGAACTGGTGGAAGAGAGACTGTAGGAGGAATCCTTTGTGTCCAGAAAAGGATGCTTTGTGTCTCTGCTGCTTCAAAATTGGAAAATACTGATAAGCAGTCATTGGGCGGGGAAGGCTCACATCAAACCCCTCGGCTCCAGGACCAAAAGTACTGGCTGTTTTCCGGAGAAGAGCATCTTTTGAGTGGGGGGACAATGGGAAGGGACGGGGGTGTGCTGGCAGATGGAAACCCTGCGTGTTGTTCTGCCTTCGATAACATGCTTTCCCTTCCTCCCCTAGTCCTGCCCCCACCTCCCTAAATGGACTGCGGCCAGGGGAGAAATGGTGGTGCCTGAACTGAGACGAGCCCGTCATCACGGCAAATGGGAGTTGAGGCTGAATTTGAAGGGAAACTTTCTGAGAGTGCAGATTGGGAACTAGGAAAGCAGCGTTGCCAGGGGCATGAGGAAGGCTTTTTTGGGATGCTTAAAGCTGGGATGGTTTGGGCACTAGCAGAGGGACTTGCAGGGGGCAGTGCCCTGGGCCAGAGGTGGGTGAGGAGGCCTCTCACAAGCTGTCTCCTTCTCCGATGCCTGTGGGTTGCCAGAGGGACCTAAGCAAGTGGTGTGAAGCTAAGGGCAAAACCTGCTTTCAGCAACAGCCCTCAGCAGGGAGGAGAGGTTGTGACCCGCAGCAGAGCTGGGCTGATTATCTATTGGCAGGGTGAGGAGGTCAAGGGCCACTCTGTGCCTCCAACTTCAGGTTTGAATTGTGGTGCCATATTTCAGTGCTTTCCTCGCCATCTAGAACTGTCGCTTGCCAGTGAGTGACCTCTTGCTGCCCCGACACCAGGGTGATGGGCATAGTCTAAATGAGGAATCCTTTGCCTTTCATAGAGTGCTCCTTCGAGCTGAACATCTCCCTCGCATCCTCCTCTCTCATATGTTTTCCAGGGTAAGAACTCATGGTTTTCTTTAGCAAAGAGGACCCTTCCAGGCAGCAACCGAGGCAGGGCAGGAGAGAGAGTGCCTTTGGTTCACATGCCCATCATGGTGGGAGGTGTGTGAGGGATGGCAAGTAGCATCCTTGCCTTCCTGCTAGTCCTTGGAGGTGGGTGCATGCCTTGGGTGGGTACGGGGAGCTCCTGTGCTCTCTGCTACCATGGGGCATGTGTCTTGGGGCCTGTTCCTCTCTGCAAAATACTTGGTATCCAGGGAGGATTCTCTAGCTTTTGGGGTATACCAGGATCCTATGAAGGTTTTCTGTTTCCCCCAGAATCTCATTGCCCCTGGGGCTGGGTGTGCTGTGCAGCCCTCTCTCCAGAAAGGCCATGTCTTCCCAGCAGCAAGAAGAAAGATGCTGGCAGAGCTGCCCTTACTGGGCCCTGACATGAAAGACCATTTGAGTGAGGTATGGGATGGAGGAAGAGACTGGGGGCCAGGGAAAGGGAGGAAGCAGCCCCTCCTTTTCACCTTTGGTTTACATCCTATTCTGTCCTTCCAGGCCCAAGGGGGATGATCCTGAGCCCCTTTGCTAGAGACCTTCCAGTGATAGTGTCCCCCTTGAAGGGATGCCCCCCACCTTGGGAGAAGGCCAGCAGAAGCTTTCTGTGGTTGTTTAACAACCCAGAGGAGAGCGCCTTTGTGCTAGAGGCAGTGTAAGCACGTAGGGAAGGAGAGGCCTGCCTCCAAGAGCGCAGAGTCCAAAAGATGACATCACAGGCGGGCATCGCAGAATAGAATCGGAGAATCTAGAAAATTAGTGTTGGAAGGGACCTCAGGAGGTCATTTAGTCCAGCCCCAAAAGCACATCGCAGGCAGGTGACAAGTGTAACTGGGCTTGGGAGGGAAAAAGGGCTTTCTTGGAGCAGGGCATATGCGGTGCTTAGCTGATTGGGCCTTGCTAGCTGCCTGGTTGTTACTTCAGGCTCCCTGTTTTTAAGAATTGGGGCCCTGGCAGCTGGTCTTTGGAGCCTAGCAGGAAGCGCCTGATCTCTGCAGTGTCTTCCCCCCGACCACCCCGCCATAAGCAGCAGAGGAATTTCCAGCAACAAGTGTCTGAATCCAGGCACCCTGCCTCTGCCTGTTTCCCTTTGATGCTGGCAGGGCTGAGAAACTCTCCACCACCCTCCCTTCTGGGTCATTCCCAAGCCCCAGCTTTGCTACCCTGCCACCTCCCCTATCTGGAAATCAAGCTGGCAGGCTGGATCTGTGTGTGGGAGGGTGGGCTGGGGGTAGAGGGCGGCCAGAACTGCCGGCCTGCAGGGAAGCGCAAGGCTGATTCGTGTCTTGGCTCTCAGGCTGTACATGGACCTACTGGGTCACCACAGCGGTTTTCCTGTGCTGCACTGTCACTTGGGAAGAGGGCAGGAGGAGGGCGCAGCGGCAGCATGGCTGGGGCCCACCTTGTTAGGATGCTCCCCTAGCCACGTCCACCGTGCTGCAGGGAGTCGAGCCTATGGTCCTGCCCTCTGAGCCCCCTCGGAGAGCAGTCGTACCCGGGTGGCCTGAGCTGCCAGTGGGCAGCACTGAGTTGCCCCCGTTCCAGCTCCTCAGTGTTGTATTATCAAAGCAAGCACGACTCAAATCTACTGTTTAAATGCTCATTTAGAAACGGAACAAAAGCCCCATTCCCTATCCCTTGCTCCCTCCCATCTTTCTCTCGTTTCCCTTCCTTGGGAACTGAGTGGTCTCATCTGGCTGGTCCTGTGTGCTGTTTGCAAGGCTGGAGGGGACCCCAGTAGGAGACCCTCGTGCTGGGAGACACCAGAACAGCATCATGTTCCCATGAGGGTCTCTTGTGTGCCTGCTGCTTTCAAGAGAGGGTCTCTCCAGCTGAAGGGGTGCACAGAGGTCCAGGTTACATCAAATGGGCTGTTCTGCAGCCGCATGGGGAGGAGCAGTGACAAGCAGTTTGTTTTTTAAGGATCCAGGCTGTAAAGG